AGAAATTGTGCATATTGATATGTGTACCTTGATTATATTCATGATATTTGATGATGCATTCATTGATATATGACTAAAGTTGCATTATTTAGTAGTGGATGTCCAATTTAAACTTAGTTAAATGAAGAGATATCAAATTAAGGTGCATTCCCTTCAAAATAGCCCCAAACTTTCTGTTTGTCCCAATCAAGGCCAGTAGAGCCGGTTCAACCATTTTCACAGTCGGCTCCACCCAAAAACCCGAGAGTCTTCTCTCTCTAAAGTTAAGCCAGCTCTAGGACTAGAGCCGGCTCTCCTGCAACATTTTGATTATTCGGGCTTCTCTCTCTAGAATTAAGCCGGCTCCAGGACTAGAGCCGGCTCTCTTGCAGTTTATGACTTTTGGTATTGATTGTCTATGATTTTGATGATTATATGCTCTTATTGAGGGGGAGTTTATTGGTTGATGATCGTATTCATGTCTTTGGTTGTCTATGGTGCTATATTGATGATGATTGATGATTATATTCATTACATATTCTTGATGCTTTAAAGGTTGATAGCATGAATTAAGGGGGAGCATTTTGTGCTTAAATTACTTTTCTTAATGGTTATCATGCTTAAATGCTTTAAAGATTGATTTGCATGAATTAAGGGGGAGTTTGTTGATTATGTGCTTTTTGATGAATGACAAAAAGGGGGAGAGAATATGCTGAATTTAAAGTCATTTTCTAAAGTACCTTGTGCTGAAATTCTAGTTAATATTGAAGTATATATGTGCTTTCATTAATTAATTCTCAAAGTGTTTTGTCATCATCAAAAAGGGGGAGATTGTTGTACCTATGATTTTGATGATTACAAAACACATTTGAATGACTAATTGGTTTATTTAAGTGTCTAGTTAAGTTGCTAAAAGATTGCAAGTAAACTTAGATTGCACTAAAAATAGACCAAAAGGATTCAAAATGGCAGAGAGCCGACTCTAAAAAGCTGCAGCCGGCTCTAGTGAAATAGAAGTGCAAAGAGTCGGTTCTGGAAGTTGCAACCGGCTCTACGGCAAAAATTTGAAGACTGTTGTTTGGCGCGCACGGAGAAAAGACGCAAAGCAGGCTCCCACTTTGTAGCCGGCTGTGAGGGTGCATTTAATGCACAACGGTCGACTCTTTTGAATGTATTTAAAATCGGAATTCCAAAGCCGGCTCAAAGTCTTGCAGTCGACTCTCGAGGAAAACAAAATGGCCTACAAACCCTGATAGCCAACTCTGAAAGTGTAAGTCGGCTCTGCACAGCCGGCTCTAGAAAGCTAAGCCGGCTCTCCTGACAAACCTGCAGCTCGAGCTCTGCGTCCTGCAGAACATTTAATGACCCCCAACAGCTAGAAACGACTATTTTCGAGCAAGGGGCTATAAATATGGATCTGAAGAAGTTTAGAGGTGAACACATCGCAGATCTTTACCTACCTACTTGAGCTTAAACTTGAGTTTTTGATCTTTGAGTGATCATTGCTTGTAATCCCCTTCTCGTGCTATTAGTGAGTGATCTTGGGGGTGTGTCGATTCCTTCAAGAGTGATCTATTGAGAGGATTTGTGGGGTTTACATTGTAAAGGGGTGAGGTTTGAGAGAAATGCTCATCTTCTTGTAAAGGATTGAGTGGCTCCTTTAAGCCATCATTGTTTTTGTTAGTGGAGAGTGTGGAGGAAATCCTTGGTGAGTGAAGCCAAGGTAGAGGACTAGGCTCCAAGTGGTTGGACCGAACCTCTATAAAATTATTGTGTAAGCTCTTCTTCTCAACTCTCTCTTTAATTTTTGTTTGGTGGTTGCAAAGAGGTGAAAATTCTCCAACTCCAATTCACCCCCCCTCTTGGAGTGCATTGAGTCAACATTTATTTAAATGTATAAGTGTAAAACATATAAGTATGGCAGCAAAGAAAAATATTCCTTTGTATATTGAAGGGGATGGTGAGAATGAACACAACTATGCCTCTTTATCTACTGGCCATGAGAAGTATTTGTATAATATTGTTGTGTATGTTTGGTGATGCGCCAAAATAGAGAATGAATAACATGGATATGTGCTGTAGTATAATTTTATTGAGCCAAGTGCTGCTGGTTGATGATACTTGCCAACACGTAAAAATATAGAAGAAATATGTTGTAGATCGAGATTATTAGCAACCAATAATTTCATCCCTTTGTATAAAAGAATAATGATGTGCATGACTGCCAACCATGTTGTATAAATGTCGTAGGGTCAACCATGAATAGCTTTCCCATAGCTAGAGGGACAATAGTGGTTAGCTTTGCCCATGGTTGGAGTGTGAACTATGTGGAATTAGAAGAGCATTTCCAATAATTCACCAAGCCACGAAAGGGATAAATCTCATTAATCTAGGACTCCACCATAGTAATGAATATGTGATAAGAATTGGTGGAATTTTGTCATGGAAGGAGGATGCTAGCCACATCCATGGCCTCCGATATGGACAAGGTCTGATACCATAATAGAACGATGGCCCTTCTTGTGTACCCACACTATTAAAGGATGATCCTAGTTGTTGTTGCCCACCAAGCACCACATCACCATGCACGGGTGACCACCAAAGAGCTACCAGCCATAATTTGATGATTTTATCATTGGGTGGTAGCCATCCCAACCAGTTGCAAGGTTGCAATTGTTATCAGCCTCACGCTAGTCGTATTAAGTTGTGCTAACTCTTTGTTTGTTTTCGAGAGCCAGTAAGAATAAAATATGTAGAGATCCAACCTTTTGTCCATTTTTAGGAGTGGGTGTAATGAAGATGTGTAGAAGTATGTAGCCTTTTACCCATTGCTAAAGGCTAAATGAGATAGCAAATCTAGCCCTTTGTCCATCATTGGGAATTGTGTAGTTGTAGTAGAATTAGCCTATTGTCCATTGATGAGAATTAGTGATAGAGATATGTAAAGTATCTAGCCCTTTATTCATCGCCAAGAGCTGTATCGATGTGATAAAATCCACTCGTTGTCCTTTGATGGAAGCCATGTAGATGTAGCAAGATAAGCTCTTTATCCATTACTAGGAGCCAATTGTAGCAGTAAACATAGTAGTAGAGATCATGGCGGTCAAGAAACACCCACCCATGTTGTAGAAATAAATATAGCCTTGTTTGGCCATATACATGAGAATGATATTGAAGTAGACCATGCTTGCAATATTTCCAGCTAAGTAGATGAACATCACTTCTGGCAATACTAACTCTGTTGTAGTCATCAGCAGAAAATAATATATAGCAAATTTGATGTGGAAATATATTATTTGGGCCTTTCCTAGTCATAAATCCAAAGCCAATGTTGTTGATGTGGCACTACACATATTTTGAACTCCAAAGCAATATAAATTCATCCATCAATAGGGCCTAGTTTGAAAGCCCTCATTTCTATATCTAAATCAACATCGACTTCATAGGATTCTTCTTTAAAATCTTGATCATCATCACTATCTTCAAATTGTGAATCCCCCACTAGCATTGTAATCTTCATCATCACTGTTAGTGAATCTAGCATTCCCCACTTTAGCACCATTTCCCACAGCTGCAGCATCCCTACTATCATTAAATAAAACAAGATTTAAAACCATGAAAAAAATTGGAGGTTTTGCTTGTAACAATGATTCTCCGATTGCTTCATCATTCTTTTCCTCCTTAGAATCAACACATATGCTTCTAATTTTAGGCAAGACTCACTATTTCCATGCAAAAATGACCTTTTCAATCGCCCCAGACCATTATTAAGTTTCATACCAAGCATTAACCACAAAAAAAAAAAAAAAAAAAATTCAGCAATTAAAATTATTCAAAATTAAAAATTTAATAACTAAATTTGAGATTTAACCCTAACGGTGTGAAGATGAAGAATTAGGATAAAGACGGTCAGACCCGAATGCGTCGCTTGGGGACTCTAATTGGTGCCCTTGATCGGTCTCCACCACCGCAAATCTAACCCATTATCGAAGCCATATGCGGAATTCTATTTCTGCTTATATTAGGGTAACCTGCATGAAATGTCACCTATCTTTATCATAATTTTTTATTTAGTTACTCTCTTTGAAAATTTATAAACTAGTCACTCATCTTTAATTTAATGTTTATCCGTGCATCATGTCCGTTAACTGATCAATTCCATTCATTTTTACGCTAAAATGGCACCAAAGAGTGGCCAACTCTCCATAAAATTATCTTACAAGGTGCATACATAAAAACAGTAGTTTTTTTTTTCATTAAAAAATTTTTAGGTAACAAAAAAAAAAAAAATACAAATGTTAAAATATTATCCTACATGGCTCCTACATGAAAATAATACCTTTTTTTTAGTTAAAAAACATTTTTTAGCCAGATAAAAGGAGAATTTGATCATATGTAACTTGGATTACCTTTTCTTTTAAAAATATAAAACATACAAAATAAGACAATATGTTCAAATAGCCACTATAAAGTGCTCCATATGATATAATTTTCAATAAAACAAAACGCAATATTTATCAAATAAAAATTCTAAATATAAAAAATGGTAACTACAAAATTATTTCCACCTTTTATAGCAAATTTAAATGCAAGTATATTCTTCCTTGAATATTGCTTGACAGCTTCCTTCAATTGTTCCCTACTTGTGAACAACATCACAACTCTATATTGAGGATTTTCCATATCAACCTCAGGATTAAATTCAGGGAACTTGCTTTCTAAAAGTTCCCATCACCCTCTAAATCATGATCATTGTTAAAAAATATGACTTTCCACATTCATTGCCATCATTTTCATCCAAATTTCCTTATTTTGCAACAACTAAATCAAAAGCGATGAACACTTTGTGTTAGAATCTATTGAGAGTAAGGGGTTGATGAGTCAGCGATGATGATGATGTGGAAGTTGACTAGGATGCCACCTACGGGAGATGAGGAGGGTCCTTTTAGCTTGCACCTGTTTCACATGTGAAAGACTATGTGCCACAAGCCATGAACCATCTCCCTTTGTCCAACAAAGATGGTCAATACCGAGTTCCCTAGTAAAGTCTAAAAGTGTAAATTCCTCAACCGAGCCAAGAGAGTTGGGCAATGATGACGGGGTTTCAAGAGCCAGGAATGATTACACAACCACCAAAATAATGAAAAAGAGATGTACATTATGGTAGGAGCAACAAGGATAGAAAATATATAAATATTAAATATTACAACTTGAGAGGCATGTTTACATAAAGTACATTGTCATATAATAGTAAACACAATAAATGTCCTCTCTACTATCGTTGACAAATACTCTAACTCTATAATGAGCAATCCTTATGTTGTGCTTAGAAACACAATAATCTTCTTCAAATTTTCACAGTACAAAAGAAATAAACTTGAAAATAGTGATGGGAGAAGGAAGGATGACTGTTGTGGGGGCTTTCAATGGTGGACTTGATCCCTTTTCTTGAACCTAACTTGACTGCAAATTGATCCCCTAATGCTCAAGAAAGATGACCAAAAATCTCAAGTAACAATATGAAACCTTCTAGCCATGCAGAACTGTAAGTCTGGGGATGAATTGATATGGTTGGAGACGTAGAAAAATATGAGAAAATAAAGATTTTTGAGAAATTTTGGTGGGTGGGGTGTGAAGTTGAAGATGAAGAGTTTTTCTTAGAGGAGAATGAGTCTAGTGTGTGGGATCTACTTTAAAATGAAGAAAATTTGTTCTGGAATTGAAAATCCCTTCAAAAGTGAAGGAAAAACTAAATATATATGTAGTAGCATTTGGTAATTTTAGGTTGGTAGGACCAGGGTAACCTAGTGAACCAATGGTTAGATTTAGGTGATACGAGGACAAGTGTCAAGTTTTGGGTGGATCTGAGTATTGTCGACAACCTTTGAAGTGAAATCATGATTTGTCTAGCATTTCCAACAATGGACCATTGGTTTGTTAGA